ACAGTCCACCTCTGGGCATGGCTGGGGGCACTTGCCAGAAAGGCCGAAGCCAAAACACAGTGAGGTGCTACCGCAACGAAAACACCCAGGAGAGACATGGCCTTTGGAGGCACCTGGGAGAGGAAGAAAACTCCTCTGCAGATGGGTGCTTGCCCGGGGCAGGGTCTCCCCAGTCCCTCCTGTTCCCTTCTCGGCCTCAGGGAAGATGACCTGTATTTCTACACCAAACAACTGGCCCAGACCTCTGGGGGTGGGGGACTCTTGCACCAAGCATCTCGGGGCACAGGCTTTAATCAGGCACATTTCCAGCCGGGCCACCCCTCCGAAGGATGCAGCCCCGCCTGGGCCATGGCCCCTTTCTTGGGGTCCTTCAGGGCAGCCCAAAGCAGTGGGCTCGAACTGCTGTCCTGCCGGACACACTCTGCTAGTCCTGGCTCCTCCGGGCATTGGGCTGAAGGCTCCCTGTGAGGAGGGCCCATTCACACTGTTCCCTGTGATTTTCCAGGGCACCCAGCCCTGCACCAGCTCGCTGGGGTGAGGGCAGGGGGTCCGTACCCATCATGGGTGGGGCTGTCAAGAGCCCCTCCTCCACAGGCCCCAAAGACTGGTGTCCCTACACTCTACCTTCCAAACTGGCACACTAGGCACAGAGCACTGTCCCGGGTCACTATGTACGGAGCAGACACTCAGCTGGGTGTCAGCATGGAACGCAGGCAGGGGGGTGCCCTCTCACCTGGGTGAGGGGCGCTTCCTGGGTCTACACGCTCGCTGCTCTGGCACCAGCAGCACAGCCTGGGGGTCCCAGAGGGGCCGGTGCTGCCCTCCTGGCCTTGCTGCCTGGAACTGCAACATCAGGCACATGAGGTCTGAGGTCCTCATGGACCCTCTGCCTGCCCCAGGGGAACACATGCCCTGCAGCTGCTTCTTGCAGGGAAAGAGGGGCAGCTGGAGGTGTGGGGGATGATCCCTAGCCCCTCTCTGGGACCCTTAAGATTTTAGGTGCTGGCTCCTGTGTCCCTATCTTTCCCAGTGACTTGGGTCCCTAGAAGCCCCCATGGTTCAGGACACCCTTCTGTGGTGCTGCTCTCTGGCCTGAGCCATGGCTGTCCAGGTTATAGATGGTGGTCCACGGCCACCGTGCAACATCCCTCTGGGACTCTGGGTCCTCCTCTGAGGCTCTGATACCCCCCGGGCTGTTGGGGCTGCTCGGCAGCTCCCACCTCTGTTTCCACTTGGCTCTGTGTGTGGAAGTGTGGGTGAGGGCACCCCAGTCTGCTTGACAGTCCCCTGGTTGTGGCCCTGTTGGGTGCCTTCATTGCCAGGGCCTACTCTGGCCCATTCCTTGCTGGCACACACTGCTCTTTCTCAGTCCCTCCATCTCTGGTGCTCCTCGCACCTGGTGTGGTGACTGAGACCTGGGAGGAGGAAGGTGCCACCTGAGCAGCTGTCCTGCTCCTCCTGGCTGCCTCTTCCTCTACCTTCTTTGGTTCTTCCAAAGCAGGTGCTCCCCAGGGCTCTGCCCCCAGATCCTCTCTTTCCCTCTCCTGCCATCCTTTCTGGGAGACTGCACCCGCTGCTCCTGCAACTGCCTCCATCCTTGGCCCTGTATCCAAGTTCCCAAGGACCTCTACCTATCAGCTCACACCTGGCATCCCCATATCAAGATTTGCCAGCCCCTTGGGGTTCATATTCCCCTAAAAAAGCTGCTGCACTGCTCAGAATATTCCCTGTTACTTCAAAGGCACCTCCTTTTCCCCAGACCTGGGCCCCGTGCTGGGGGTGTCAGGACCTCCTGGCCCCCTCTGCCTCCTGCGCAGCCTCCAGGCCCCTCCTCCTCCCAAGCAGGCTCCGTCCTCCCTCTCTGCTGCCCCTGCCCTTCAAATCCATACTGAGGCAGATCAGAATATTCTATTTCCTTGTTTCCTTGCTTGGCCTCTGTAGTGTTTTCTTGTCATTGCCAGATTCCACTCAATTCACCCCACTGGCTCCAACAGCATCCCCGGGCTCTGTTCTGAGGCTCTCAGAGAGGGGCCTTGGGGGGCTGAGGCAGCACAGACCAGTGGGAAGGAGGACACAAGGCCCCCCCAGCCCAATTCTCCATGCGCTGTGTGAGGAGCAGCAGAAATGTAGGATTGAGAAAGAGTTGTGCATGTGCCAGCAGGGAGCAAAGGCCATGGACATTTAGGGATGACTTCCTAGAAGAGGGGGACATGTGATCTGGACCTGAAAAAAGTGGTAGCCTTTTGCAGTGTCGACGGGAACAGTGAAAAGTTAGAAAAACCTAACACTGAGCAGAAGACTGGTTCCATGCACCGTGTAATACTCTCAAATGTACTGCCGGGAAAGTGGCCCAGCAGAGAGAAACCTCAGTCTCATCGTGTTCAGTGAAAACGGCAAACTGAAGGATGATGTGCATGGCACAGCGCCATCTGTATACATCCTAACAACACACAAAATAATGTGACATATTGTTATGGATACAGATGTGTGTAGTTAAGAATAAAAATGTACGCATGGGAGTGATAAGCACCAGATTTACCTCTTGGGAGGCAGGGAAAGAGAGAGAGGAAGGCACGGGAGCAGGGAATTTAGTTGTGGCTGGGTTCCATTTCTTTGAAAAAAGAGAGAAAGAAATCTAAGGCAAATATGGCAAAATGCTAACATCGTTTCAATATGGGTGATTACAGGTATATGGGTGCTTGTTTTACTATTTTCTCCTAAGTTTCAAAGGAAGTTAAAGTGAAAAAAGGAAAAAAAGAGGGAGGCAGCATTCTTTACACAGGTGGAACTTTCCCTACAGGGGCCCGTGTGGACCAAGGGCAGGGGGGGAGCCAGGGTGCCCAGGAGCAGATCACAGCTGGGCCAGGGCAGGGGCTAGGGGCGGAGCCTGGGGGTGGGCTTGGGAGCCCCAAATCCTGGGTGGGAGGATGTCTAGAGGGGGGACACCAACTTTCTCCTTCCTGCTCATTTGTCTCCTCCAAGTGTGTTGTCTGGAGTCCTTTCTCGTCCTCTCCCTACAGCAGCCTTTGGCTGATTTTCAAGTGGGGGATTTATTCGTTCCTTCCCCTGTACTGATCATCTACTACAAAAGCAATGGTTTACAGGGCACTTACCATGTGTGGCAGTTATATTCATATATAATAACTCACTGAATTCTCACAACAGCCCTGTAGGTGGGCGTTATATTACCGTCAGCACTGTCTCTATTTTATGGATGAAGAAACCCCTCTGCAGGGGTTAAGGGATTTTCCTGAAGTTACACAGCTAGCAAGAAAGAGGCAGAGCTGGGATTTGAACCCAGACCATCTGGTGCCAGACCCTGTGGTCCTCACTGCAGCACTCACATGCCAGGTAGGGTGCTGAGTGCGGTGGATTCAGTAATGACACAGCCACAGCCCTGCCCTCACAGAGCTTCCAGGCCAGTGGGGGAAGCCAGACACCAAAACAAGCAACACACACTGATGTAATTCCAACTGCTGAGCTAGAGGACGAAGACAATCTGTGCTTCAAGGGAGAAAACAAGCAGGACACAACCGAGCCTGATGGATCCAAGAAAGCCTCTCTGAAGAGGGGACATTTAAGCTGAGGCCTGAAGGATAGGGAGTTAGCCAGGAGGGGAAGGGGAGGGCAGTTGAGGGAGACAGACGGGAAGCGCAAAGGCCCAGAGACAGGCAGGAACTCTGGCAAGGAACCCCGAGAGGGCTGGAGGGGCTGGAGCAAGCAGGGAGCAGAGGGAAGGGCTGCAAGGCCCTGAGGGCAGAGCGGATGTCGCCCTCACTTGGGGCCTCCCTTACAGGCAGGGGGACCCCGGTTCTGGGGTAAATACACACAGTGTCCCATTTTGGTTTGGACAGTAACAAATCTGAAGGTCACCCTCTCATAGGTGATGGCAGAGAGTGTGGATTTTATTCTCAGGACAGTGGGGAAGCACTGAGGGGTTGTAGCAGGAGAATGACACATCTCATTTATAATCTATAAAGGTCACTGTGGCTGAGTGTGGAGAGGGCCTGCAGGGGCACAGAAGGGAGGCCATTGTCTCTTTTCTGACTCAGCGGAACAGTGTGGAAGGAACCAGGCCTGGGAAAAGGGAGGGAAGGCCTGGCTTGGCCTGGTGGAGGTTACAGCCATGGGCTATGTACTCCACAAATGTGTCCCTAGAGATGCTATTCCCCTTCTCCCTGTGCTGGTCCAGCCACCAGGCCCAGACTCACCCCTTCCAAGAGAGGGCTCAAGGGGTAGGAGGAAGCCTCCAGGAACAGCTGCCCACCTCTCAAGACTGCAGAGCAGCTTGTGAAAGAAACAGGAAAGTTCCCCGGGAGAGCTAAAGCACTTAGTAGGTGCAACAAATGATGATTAACAATATTAACTTTTCATTGACCATTTGCCCCATCCCTGTCCTTCTCAGCCCCATGCTGTTCCCCTCCTTTCCAGGGGGGGATTTCAGAAGTGAGAGCCCAGGGCACTCAGAGATACCAGCTGGGAGAGTCTCAAAATGAGGCCAGTTTCCAAATGGAATAGGCGCTGGGGGAGAGTAAGTGGCTTCTCCCCTCAGCTGATATACCTGTTGACTGGCCAGGGCTGGCTGCCCACGAATGAATGAGTACATGTGGGCCCACGCACTCTGCACGCGCCTCCCGCTGAGGGGTATGTACAGGGGGACACACGCACTGCTGGCCATTCACTGTGGGCGGATGACCCACAGATTTCCACGGGCCTTTTATTTTTAGAGGGGTCGGAAGCAGAAGCCCAGGGCTGCTGATATTAGAGAGGAAGGACAGAAAAGTTAGAAGCCTGTGAGACAAGCCCGTTAAGCATGAAGAGCCTCTTGTCTGCCCCCACAAAGTGGTGCGCGCACAGCTGCCACTTAGGAGACTCCAGATGTTGCTCAATCTACCTTCCACGGAGGGTCAGACAAGTCTGGGTGCCAGGAAGGCACCAGGAAGGCACCGCCCCAGGTTCAGGGAGGAAGAAAAGGGGGTGGTGGGAAAGGGGTCACTCACCGAGCGGCAGGACAAAGAAGAAAGGGAACCAGCAGAGCACGAAGACGCCCACGACGATGGCCAGCGTCTTGGCCGCTTTCTTCTCGCGGGAGAACTTGAGCAGGCGCACGGAGAGCGAGCTGCGGAAGGTGTGGCCCTTGGTGCTGCGCGTCCCGTGCGCCCCGTGCGCCCCGTGGGGGCCAGTGGCCGCCCCGCGACAGTGGATGCGCAGCACCACCTCCGAGGCCTTGCCCCGCTCGCGCTTGACGCCCGCCTCGAGGCTGCGCGTGGTGCTGCGCGCGACCACGTACACCCGGCAGTACATGACCACGATGACCGCCATGGGCAGGTAGAAGGAGCACACGGAGGAGAAGACAGCGTAGCCTGCCTCCTCGGTGATGCCGCAGAAGCGCTCGTCTGGGGGCACCGGCTCCTTCCAGCCCAGCAGCGGCCCTACGGACACCACGAGGGCGACGGCCCAGAGCAGCGCCAGGATGGCGGCCGCCTTGCGCTCGGTCATGATGGCGGGGTACTTGAGTGAGTGGCGCACGCCCACGTAGCGGTCCACGGAGATGGTGCAGAGGCTGAGGATGGAGGCTGTGCAGCACAGCACGTCCACGGCGGCCCACACGTCGCAGAAGGCTCGGCCAAAGGCCCAGAAACCCAAAACCTCCATGGTGGCCGAGAAGGGCAGCACCGTGGCGCTCAGCAGCAGGTCAGCCACAGCCAGGTTCACGATGAAATAGTTGGTGACCGTCTGCAGGTGGCGGTTGCAGGCCACCGAGAGGATGACAAGTAGGTTGCCCGCCACGGCCGTGAGGATGAATGCCGCCAGGAAGACGCCCACGCCCACGCCCTGAGCGCTCACCACCAGTCCCCCGACGGCCGCAGTGCCGTTCACCTCGCCGCCAGCGCCCGAGCTCCCCGGCTCCCCGGCGGAGCTCCGGTTGTCCTCGCCGCTGCCTGCGCCCACCACGCTGCCGCAGCTGCCCGCGGCTCCTGGCACGCCACCCACCGCCGGGCCCTCTGAGGCGGCCGTGCCTCCCGCGCCGCCCCCGCCGCCGCCGCCGCTGGAGGCCCCGGCACTGCTGTCCGGGCGGGGTCCCTCGAAACTGACGCTCAGGAGGTCGCGGAAAGTCATCTCAACGCGTGGCCGTCGGGGGCCGGGCCCGGGCACAGGACGAGCGACTGGCAGGGAAGGGAACACGGGGCATAGCTGCGGGGCTCCGCATCCAGCTCCGCGGGCGGATCCCGTCGGGGTCCTGCCGAAGTTCCTCTGACGCGGAGCGCGGCTGCCAGAAAGCGGAGCTGCCCGGCCCGGGTGGTGGCCGGGGCTCCCGGAGGCCGGTGGTGGAGTCGGACCGAAGAGCCGGGGCCGGCGACGCGCGCGGCTCTCTGAGTGTGCCCTGGCGAGCCGGCAAAGCGGCGGCTCCGGGGCCGGGCGGTGCAGGCAGCGGCCACTGCGGCGCTCCCAACTCGGCGCGGGGGGCGGGACGGAGGAGGGGCAGCGCCAGGAGGGAGGAGGGGGCGCCCGGAGCCGAGGGAGGGGGCGCCACACTCCCCAAGAGAAGGGTTCCTGCTTGCAGGCAAGCGGGTGTGTTGGGGTCCGGAGGGGCTGCGGCGCTGGCGCGCTCAGGTCCCGCAGCAGCCACCCACGCCTCACCGCAGGTGCCCACGCCTGCCCCCTCCCCTCTCCGTACCCGTCACGCTCCCTACTGCGCGTCTCCCGGACCCCCTCCCTTTTTGCCCTCGGCTGCGTTCCTTTTCCTCCCGCCCTCTCCCCAGCCTCTTGGTCACTAGCGGGTGCCCTTGGGCGCGCGGTGCGTAGAGGCGCGATTCCCGGGTCTCCCGGCTCCCGGCTCTGGCCGCCAGAGAGCAGCAAGCGCCCGGGATCTGCGGACTGCGGACCGGACCGCGCAATGCTGTGGCGGGTCACCTCCTAGGACTGCCTGGACAGATCTGCTGCACCTCCTTCCTTCTCTCAGGCCACTGGCCAGGACAGGGTTTCAAACACTTCTGCCCAGTGTGATGGAGAGGAGAGAGCCCCGGAAGGGGTCAGAAGCCTGTGCTGGGCTGAGGCTAGTTATGATGGGCGCAGAGACAAGAGAATATGTGGCTACAGCTCTCGGACGCTGTCCAAGACACAGGAGTCTACGTATACCAACTTCTCCACTTTTACTTTACTCCATATCAGACATGGGAATAGCTTTCTATTGCTGCTGTAAATAAGTGGGCTTGTTCTGGGGAGGGGGGAATAAGTGCTGGAGGGTGGGAAAGGCCACTTGGCAGGATGGTTAAGAGTGGAGGGTGTGAGATAGTCTGGCTCCAAATCCAGGCTCTGCCCTATATTAGCTGTTTGACCTCTTTGGGCCTCAGTTCCTCATCTGTGAAATGAGAATGAGAGTAGTGTCTAGCCATCTAATGGCACAAGAGTTAAATGACTTAATATGTGTTGGGGCACCAGAGCGATGCCTGGGTTTGTTAACTGAGTAGGGCTTGGCAGGGCAGGATTTGAACAGAGAGGACAGAGGACAGAGGGGTGTGGAGCTGGTATGAACCCGGGACACAGGTGGAGGAGAGGGTATGAGGAGTCTCTTGCTGTGTAGCAGGACTGGGTAGGGAGAGACACAAAGAGATCATTTGTTTAGCCAACATAAAAATACTTATCGGCTGCTGTCACTTGGCAGACACCATGCTGGGCACATAATGGATGGCAGAGGAAGGAGGAATTGCAGGGAGGATAATGCCATCTCATAGGTGCAGGGTGAGGGTGGCTTGTGCCTTGCCAGTGAGATGAGCACCTGTTTGGAGAGGTATCTGGAGGGGATGGAGAACCCATGGCCTCAGTGCCCACTGGCTGTGGATGACACAGGGGCAGGGTGTCTGAGAGTCTTAGATGAAAAGGTGCTTTAGAGAAAAAGCAGAAAATGGGAGAAATGTTGAGAGATGGGTAACATCCCTCGCCCTGCGCATGCCTGCCCTCCCCCAGCCCAGGAAGCCAAGGCTGTTAAAATCATAGCTTAGAAACAGCTCTTCTAAGGAAGGCCCTCAGCTTCTCCAGTAAATCTCCCATCTTTTACTTGGGTTTTTGGAAACTTACCATAGAGAGTTGAAATGAAAGCAAGGCGGCTTCTATGGATTAGCTGGCAGCTGACCAAAAACAGGGTTTGGGCTTCCTTTCTGAAGGTGAGGGACAGAGGGCACTGAAAGGGGAGGCCAGGAGCCCCTCACTGGGGGTGTTAGGTGGCAGGCTCAGTGTTCATGACTGGCTGCCTTCTCATAGCATGGGACAAGCATAGCTCTGGTGGAGTCCATCTGATTCTGGGCTTGGCCAGTTTTCAAAGAAGAATGGGAATAGGAGACATAGTTAAACCTAAGACAGGGACTGGGATGGCAGGGGACTACTTGACCAGTGCCACATAGTGATCGTTGCCTGATTCTGGTCTAGAGACCCAACAGAAGGCTGGCTGGAGGTGTCCTTGCCAGCAGGGTGAGGAGGAGTTGTGGGACAGCATGTCTGGAAGAAGATGCGGCAGTCTCACCCCGTTTTAGGTCTTGGTGGTCCCCAGGAGGTCTGCAAGAGGATTCTAGGGGTTCTAGAGCTCTAGGGGAGGGACATGGAAGGGCAGGACTTGTGAAACCATCTGCTTATCAGATGTGCAAATGAAGGAAGAGGTTGGGAGCATGTGCTCCTGGCAGGGGCAAGGAGAGAAAGAGCCGTCTCTCTCTGCAGGGATGTCTTAGCAGTGGAGGGCTGGGAGAAAGATCAGTGTGCCCCCCAAGCACACCGTTCACACCCACATTTTTGCTTCGATGCCTCATGGGCACCTCCAAATTGGACACTCACACCCTCAACTTGCTCTGTTGATTTATGAAAACAAAGCCATCATCCAGGCAGTTGCTGTAGCTAGAAACCTAAACTCCTCCCTCTGCTTCACTCCCACCTCAAATCTAGCCAGTCTCTGAGTTGGGTTGATTGCGTTTTCCTACTTTGTGAATCCTTCCCCTTTTCTCTGCAGTCTGTACCTCGGGTCAGGCCGTGATCCCTCTTCCTCTCTGATTCCATTCCAGTACTCCAATAATGCTGCCTCTTAGTGTGTTGCCATGTGGATCTTCCTATATATGATCATTTTATTCTTTTAAAAATAGTTCTTTGATGGCTTACCAATGCTTTAAGTCCAGAGCATGCTTAGTCCTGGGGGACTAGGCTCTTTCCTGTTTCTTTTGTTTTGGGAGGGGAGTGCTCAAAGGAAGTCATTTGGAAGGTGACCTCAGAAAGCATGATGAAGTAGTTGTTTCTTTAAAAGGGATGCTGCACTGAGACTGGGCCACATGGGACCCTGGGATTTATTTGGGCTACAAATGAATGAATGTGAGTCAGAGGCTTTTGTTCCTGAAATGATTCTCACAAGTGTTCTAGAATCTCATACGTGAACAGAACCCTTTCCAGAGGGACAGCCTCTCCCCAAATGGCTAGAACCTCCCCTAGCTGAATGCCAGGGTCTAGAAACTCAGACTCTCAGGCACATCCCCACTGTATTTCAATCTGGAGTCTGTCCCCCTCCACACACCCTTAAGGGCTTCCTGGAGGAAATGAATTTCAGGGAGAATTTAAGTGCCCCTTGGGTCATGAATTATCTTCCATTCTTCATCGTTCCTTACCTTGACTTGGCCTGTGGAAGTGGGGCCGTCCTTCTCTAAAGACGAGTTGGAGGGCTTTCTGAAACTGCCCTGTGTACGGCTCACCAATGCTCTCAGCTGAAGAATACTGTTGAGTTTATTTCTTTGGTTAAGATATTTATCACATACGGTAGAGGAAGAATGGGCAGGGCCAGTGGTGGCCTCCCTTGTGATATGATGTGAACTATTCCCCCCCACCCCGTTCCATCAACCATCCACTGCACTCTTCCTATTAGAGCCAAGCCTCTTACAGGCAAAATGTGTCTTCTAAATGCAGAGGCTTTCCTGGGGCAGCAGGGAAGTCACTGGTGGTTTGGATAGGAGTTCTTACCTGGGAACCAAATATTGGCATTCAGGCTTTGCACTTCCTCACTGTGTGACCTTTGGCAATCTCTGGGCCCCATTGTCTCCTTTATGAAATGGGGAACTGGGATTGGACGAGATCAGAGATTAAAGCAAGGAAACTCTTTCTTTAAGTAAAGTCTTCACAGAAGCCCAATATAAACAAGTAGATGTTTGTGGAGAAGCTTTGGCTGTAGCAGGGGCAAAATCCTGCGTCTTGCCCCTCTGGACCCCCCTCTTATGCTGCGTTCTGGTCCCCAAGGCATCTCCAGGGTGTCGTGGGCTTCAGGAGCCCTGTGGGCAAGTTGCTGGAGCAGTGAGCCCTGGAGACCTGCTGGCTTTTGGGTTCTTTGTGACTCAGAAGCATGGCTCCTAGGTCAGATGGAAAACTAAGCACCTGTAGTATCGCTTCTCTTTTATGCTTCCTCTTGAGCTACCTGACTCTCACCCTTTAGAGTGAGAGTAAAGAAAAAGGAACATTGTGTCTCACAACTGAGAAGTTAACTCTGAGGTTGACAAACCCTGGACATTAGCTCCTAAAGAAGAGACTTGAAGGAACCTTACAAGAGGTCATGAGGGGATTGAGGAGTTCTGGACTGACCCCTTGCTTGTGACGGTGGTACAGATGGGTTGGCGCTGTCAGTCAGGATGCTGAATGGGAGACAGTGCTGATGGAGAAGGCATTACTGAAAGATATATCTGGTTTGTGGGGACCAGCTGGTCAACGCTTAGTCCTCTCCCACCCCAGCAAACCTGGTAAACTTTTATTCATTCATTCATTGATTCATTCAATACAAGTTAACAAGTTAACTAAGCACCAGCTATATGCTAGGGACTGTTCTGGGTACTGGGGATATAATATTGAATGCCGCAAAGTCTCTGCCATCCTGGGGCTCACATTCAAATGGCAGAAAGTGCTACCGAGAAGAGGTAGGAGGAGAGTCTTCCCCGTTACCATGGACAAAAGTTTTCTCTGCGTTTGATATTTGGATCTTAAAGATTCTTTTCAATGATATCTTCAAAGAAATCCCAAATCCCAAAAACCTTTTTCCAGTACCTCTCCACCCTAGAATACTAGTGGGGAGCTGAGTTCCAGCCTGAAAGTGTGCAAATTCATGCATGTCATTGGGAGACTTGGTTAGAGCTGCCACTTCCTGGAATTGGTTCCTG